ACTTTTACTCGATTAGGTAGCAAATCGCGTGAACGGTTTAGGTGCTTATTTAATTCTTTAACTCTATCATAATGCATTTCGAGATTTATATTTTATCAGTTTTACAATTTGCAGCAATGCACAACAAACTTACTATAACTCACCATTTAATTTGATAGGCTGCATTTGTCTATTTACACAGTCGTACATTTAGTTGTTTAATTAACTAACCATACTTCAAAATCAGTATACGGTATAAGGAAATCAACTTGTTATAAGGTATTGGATATTGAACGTATCACCTTGTCTTTAGGACTATTTTAAAAGTAAGATGACAAATCGCTGCCCAACTAGTTGGTTTGATAGTATAAGTAACTTAAGAATTGAACGCCCTGTCAAGGAAAATAAAAGACCTCAGAAAAATGTGAGAATTTCAGTATGTCGACGCTCCAAATATTCACATAGTGATGTTGCGATAAAGGATGTTCATTCAGACAGGGACTACAGAAATCCTGTCTCGCATCTTCTATCAATAAACTTTGGTCTTGACGAAGACAGGAATGAAGGTGAAGTTCATGTGTTCTATGATTCGTGCTCTACAGTATTTTGTGGTTCAATGGCTTTAGAGGAGTGAATACAAACCATTACCTTTTATTGGTAGATCTAGCTTCTGTGTGTACATTAAACGCAGATGAACCAGCTATGATCCACACAGCCTAATTTTAGGGAATCTATTGGTTTTGCTTGTCATAAATAACTTCGTTTGGTGTTTCACAAATCTCTTTGTATGTTTGAGTATGACAGACTCGGTTACATAAAACTGGAACCTGATTTTTCAGGCATTGCAAATATAGTTTATGGATGCTGATGTTGTGGGAGCAATAGTTCACATACACGTTAGCCAACATACATTTTCAATCTCTTTCCATATTTCATAATGTGAAACAAGTAGTTCGCTTCACACATGCCACCACTAAATTTAGACTTATAATGTTAAGTTTAATTAAACACCTAGGTCCGTAATAAAATCACTTTACATAGATGTTTTATTACTTTGTCAACAGAAACACTTTCCGCACTAATACGTACCAGCTCTTCTAATCATAAAGACGGTTCGACCCAACTTATTGTTTCTCAGCAAATGAAAATGGATGACTTTATATAACCAGTTTGAAATTTTAGGAGCGCGTTTATCTTGGGAGTTTATTCTTCAGAGCACAGGACGTGGTAAAATTTTACCACATTCGGTGTTGGATTTGTAGACTGTAGTCTCAGTGTAAAAAAAACACAAGAACTAAAACTTAATATGGACTATAAGTGGTTAAAAATTTATAACTTTTAATCAAAATGTCTTAATACACAAAGCCAGTTTATAGCAGTTCTCAAACATTAGTACAGTACCACTCAGCTACAATGTCACGTTTTACAACGGTCGTTTCAAATCCCAGTACTATGTTGAGATATATTTGATAGTTCAATACTGTGACATGTAATCATCCCACTATACATTAATACTCCATTTAGAAACAGAGGGTAACGAATGTATATGAGAAATAAGCCGGTCTTATCGTAAACCCATCCATCTTACGTTCAACAAGAAAACACGTTATCGGAGTTTGATATATCTTAATTACTGCTTTTTACATTTAAACAATAGATAAGTCTTCACTTTCGTTTAAAGGGAGATTTGCACTGACAGGTTTTAATTGTTAATGCGAGATATCAGATTAGGTTTCATGCGTCAATGAAGCTAAAGTGTTTGCCATCAAATGAGTAGACCATGTTGTAACCGAAAGAAATGGACACTAAATCTGATAAGTAAGAGATTTTATATATGTCCCGTTACAGTATCGCAGTGAAGTAAACAAATAAACATCTGATTATAGTAGTAACATAGGATTTCGTTTCATGAAGTTTCATACGAGCATAGAAAATGATGGTTGGAAAACGAACTACCTACACATATAGTTATAGCGATTGGAGAAAAAAATAAAGTAAGTAAATATACCCAAATAGTACATGGATTTGTTGGTTATATGTTGCTGCTGTTCAGGCTGTATTAGCTTCTTTTTTTATGACCGGTAAGACGTCAGGAATCTGCTGCAACAGTAAATGAATTTGGTCAAGAGAAAAAACAATGGCAAACTTATATTTGCAGTCTACCTTTGCCACGAATTTTAGCATATAGAGTTCACTGTAAAAAATTAAAGTGAAATCCCAGTTACCCTGAAGCAGTTCATTAAGCGTTTAAAATCATTAAGTTCCATGGTGTTGTGGATGATTTATTTTATATTTTAAGAGTAATAACTTTTCGACGCTGTGAACAAACACGACATCAATGAGTCTTACCTGAGAGAATGATCACAATGAAACTAAAAAGCCACATTTTGCAGCCTTGATTACAAAATTCTGTCAGATTTATATACACTAGTTACAAAAGGTATGGAAATTATGCGATGTGAAATCTAAACGACTGATTGGGACTTACACGTTGTGTGACTGCTGATTCTATATTTGCAATATTTGGGAAAATGTTAATATTATATTTCAATTGTACCATATTAAAGTATTCGATCTTCCCCCCAAATCTGTTGACATGTTCACTTACTAAAAAGCCTTATCAGAAGAAACTGTTTATTTTGAATATTAAATTTACTGACACATTAACTTGGAAGAACAGGATGAGACCTTCTTGACTGAACTTTTCTTAAAAAACAAAACAATTATCTGCTTTTTGGTTTTGCAGTGGCTTCACAGACTGAAGTTAATTATTCACGAAAACTACTTTGCACTTTCCACTTAAGTTAGTACTTAACGAAGTTTCACTAGTGACTAATTCCAAGATAATTTTTTTAAAACAAGTATTTGCTGAAAAAAAGCTTTGACAATCAAAAGTAATAAATTAGTGTGAGATTTAGCTTATGAGTAGTCATCTGACATAAGTGTTAAGTACTTAAGGCTAGTAATACCATAGAGTTTATATTTTCCAGTTTCAGGTGTAATTATTACATTTTCCGCTTCAATTCGATTTTAAGTGTCAAAAGATGAAATTTGCTGGAAAACTTACATTTCGCAACCGAAAACTATAGGTATTAGGCATATATATACATAAACATTTGTACAAACAGGCACACAAATCGTTTGATATGTGTGAGGGCTAGAATACTGCCCGAGCGCCCAAACTGAAGCAAGGTTCTTCATTATATGTAAAAAAATTTACTTTCCGGTGATAAAATCAATGTAGTACTACATAAAGACGTGTATCCCCATACTTTAGAGTTCTTACAGAGCCGTTTAGCCGAACAGCACAAAGTCGACTGTTAACAGGGACCCATACTCATAGTGCTTGTTCTGTCCTCACATTTAGTGCTATGCCTACACCCGACAGTATACGATAACTTGCCTTTGTGTCATCAAATAGATGAATAGTATGTCTTATCGGCTCCCTGTTTTGGCTAGATGAGGACAAGTGAATGACCACACTAGGATACAGCATGCATCCATAGTAAGAGATTCTAGGGTTTTAGCCAAGTGGACCAGCTCGCCGATTTTATATAGGGTACATATGTTGAAGGCTCTAATGTGTAGTTTGAAGCCTTGTCAGTAGACCCGGGACAGTAGAAAGCGGTTCTCACTTTTCGGTCGCCCATATCGTGGAAGGGTTTTTCTAGAGGTACCTGAACAGGAAATAGGGCTATAGTTGGTGTTAGTGACCTGAGAGCGTGACCGTATTGCCTAAGCGACAACTGCTTGAGTCCGGTCACACACGACCATTTTTTTCAGTAATTTTCGTGTTAGCTCCGTACTTGTTGAGACCTTGCCGCCGGAGACGGATATCCGTGGGATAAGGCAAAGTGTGTTTTTTTAGCATCAACCTTTTCTAACCCTACTTTTGCTTGTGAGAAAGTAGTATCACTGTTATGCTGGTTGTCTGAAGAAAACACCTTACTGCCGTCATATCCCTGCACAGTCAGTAGTACGACTTCACCCTCGAACCTTGGGTTTGTAGCTTTCAGTCTTACCACTCTTCAACCGACCTGTTTGGCATAGCGGGACCTTGAGGAACGATAGTTCCAAATAGTATAGCTCGACCGGTTCATTACGATAGGCAAGCCCGACCACTACATCAAGTTAGCAGTAACAGTCGGGTTCCATGTGAGACCCTAAAAATACTTGGGGATATTTCACAAATTTAATAGCATTACGATGAAAACTTGATGAAGTGAAGATTATTGAAAAAGACCTCTCTACTCAAATCCTCCTGTTCATCCAACCAACAGTGAAGTTCTAAGGAGAGGAGCATATAAAACTAAGTGCCGTTGCATTTCACTACAACTAGCTAAAATATTTAAACTAAAAGGGACATATGATAGTTAGACATGTTCATTTTATGAACAATCTTGTGGCGGAAGATTATTTTATACATAAGCTATTCTGCGGAAACCAGTAGCTTCTTACTCATGAAAGTACCCTATGGTTGTTTCTAATCCGAAGGTAATGCAGACACACAAATCATGCTGAGGCAGCCAAATACTATAAATAAATGACTACCTACTTGGTAGAATTTAACAGAGGAAGACTATGAAGCAAAATATGATATGCAATCATGTCGTTTTTGGTTTTATAACAAGTTATTAAACAAATAGCGAGGACCAAAAAGGAGTGGTGATCCATGTTATTGAAAGTATGATTAAGCAGCGCACATGTAGTTTAGTCAGTTCGTAATTTCCACTTTACTCATATTGACGATGATTATTTCTTAAGGCCTAACGTAAAACTAATGAAAACAATCTTTTTGGAAAATGCTAATTACTGGGCATGAAACGTTGAGCTATTTCAGAATAAAAACTAATTAATGACAGCAGTGAGTGTTTATCCTATGTCATGGATCCATCGGAATTTAAAATTATTAACAGTACGTTAAGCAAATGTCTCGCATCACAGTTTATGATTTTAAGCCCAATTCATGGTTTCGGTACGTACCCTTGAGCCTTAAATTACTATAGAATTTATCCGAATTCATTGATTTTAAGGATTGGGTTAAATAATATCACCATCACGAAGACTACATTCGGACTCAATATGTTTTTGATGCAACTACATATTTATATTCTACAAAGTGTAAACATAATACACTTGAGTGTTTTGTTGTGACGGAAGGGGAAGACACTTAAGTACGATCTGAGGAGTCAGTTATCTTCGGTCATTTTTTTACTCAGTATGTAGAAAGCAACTTTAAACAACAAGAGAGATGAGAAATGAGAATTCAATAAAATTTCAAATATCTGAACATCCTATTATTTGATTTCAATTTATCTCTAGTTTATATGATATTTCCTTATTTTTTAATTACATTTAAATATCGTTTTTCATGCATACCAGCCGAAAGTAACTCCACAGTTATCCCAGTTACTGAATAATCTATTTTTAAACATATTGGAGAACAGGTAAAAGCTTTTTTATTTCATAAGTGCTTAGATTACAAAAATACTTGTCAAAGACTTCATAAAAAGTGTAAAAATACGATTTTATCTGTAATGAAAACACAAAGTACTGTCGAATTTAGATCAAAACACCTACATAGAAAAGGTTATACGAAATAAGAGCACGTTTAATTAGTTCAACAGTGAAACAGATGGATAAATATATACAAATAAATTATGATGAAATACAAAATTACTTTTCTAATTTTATATCCATTACTGATGACAGCAGGAAATCGTCCATGAAAGCTTGTTGGACACCATTATCATCTAAACGTAATCGGATACGTCTTAAACGTGCTGGTGTACCCACTGTAGCTTTAACTGAATAACGCGGACCAGTAAGTTGAATAAATCCACGAGAATCAAGCAGATCGCACACAGCAGAGAGTTCAGATTCATTTAAACTTATAATTTGTTTTTTCTTACATATAAGAATGTACGTGTCATAAAGTAGGCTAAACGATAATTCACGCAGACATTTCTGTTTTCTTAACAAAAGACAGCTAGCCAGTAGAAGCTTATGGTGTAATGGCAGCTCAGAGCCATTAGTAGTATTATCGCCACTAAACGATTTAACAGGAAGAGAATCAACCTGATAAGAATGAAAAAATATTAAACCGAATTACCCTGAGATATAAAACAAAGATAATACAGATGTTAGACAAAAGAGAAAAATTCAGACGACTAAACATGGAAGTAATATTTATGTGAACTGATTAAAAAATTTCAAGACCATATTTAGTTTAAAAGTGCTGTTTGAGTTCTATCGATTTATAAAATTGACTGTTATGAATAAGCCAAACGATAGGATACTGTCATCCATTATATATTTTAGTGATACATATCTGAAGAACATTATCAACAAGAACCAAGCCTTTAAACTATTAGTATTTACCAACAAGATATCACAAAATTCGGACAACTCAGGGGTGTTACTTTTGTTTGCGTTCATTTGTATTAACAAGCATGAAATGTGGATTAAAGGTTTACTGATAATTGCTTGAACATGAAAGTAAATTTTTATAGAAAACAAACTCAGTTGGTTAACACAAGCAGTGTATATGCTTTATGTCATAATATCGAAGATTGGTAGAATAACAATAATAACCGAACTCCATCTGCTCTGAACCATTTAATCACTTATGATAAATTGTAAGTAGGTAGCTAGTTTTGATAATAAATTATTCAGAAAAATAAGGAATGAAACCATTTAATTCCACAGTTGTCATATTTGGTTAACGAATCGAGTTGTTATTAAACTTACAATTATGACTGATAGATATATAAACGAAAATCAAGAAGTCAAAGAAATTTTGTAAAACAAGACGCTGGGTCAGAATGATCGATGTTTAGAGCTAGGTGGAATATAAAGGAACCTCCTTAAGGAAAATGTGGATACTTCTTTATATTATCGGACTTGATAGGGTTGAAATACATGAGAAGTAATAAAAGGAGTAGACTCATATACCATTTGACTTCGGAAGTATAGTATCATAAATTATTCATTTTCAAAATGAACATGTACTTGTATTGGGTTAAATGGCCTGGTTTTTAGATCGATATCAAGAAAGCTTCTGCAGGTTGAGAACAAAAGCCCGAGAAAAGCAAGCACAACAGATCTGATAGAGGATGTAATTTTCGAAGTTCTATAACAGTTACAGTTATTAGCACCTCTTCACTGATCATATTTTCTAGCTTAAAGGAAGGATTTAATCCTATTAATTAAAATATGTCTATATTTTTTGGATTGTGTGATAAACAAACACATCTAATTACTTAAATGTCTCTAACGCACAGGAACTAATGAAAAGCTTTTATCTAACTAGAATGAAAGTGCTGACAGTAGCTATGAACTTTTGTTTTCACTATTTTAGCCAGTTTTATTACAGATGACGAGAAGAGTAACGTCTTCTTCTAACTTCCTTTGTAATGATCTTCCATTTAGAAAACTTGGGAACAGTATACATATAATATGATCCCGACAAGTAGATGTGCTAACAAAATATAATTTGGACATTTATAAGAAAACGGAATGCTTGGTATGGGTTAAACACTTAATAAATACAAGATGCTGCTAGATTTATCCACGTCGACCCCTAGTAAAACAAAAAGTAGTGTCTGGACGCATCAACAAACAAAACTACATCAATCCAGGTAGTGACCAACAAAATCCGGGTACAGATGTAGGTCGGAATGGAAATAGCGAACCATGTTTAACCGTTGCATGAACAAAATCTAGTGGTTACGTATAGGATTCAGTAGTATGCCGTTTCAAAACAAGGCCTAACCGATGATAGTAAGCATTAACTACATAATTTTAAATTTAAGACCCAATAGCGATATGATGATAGGCGATTTATTTTTCCCAAAACATTATCTAGCAAATATTACTGTATTACGTTGTTTTCTATCTGGTAAACAAACGAGTAAGCTCTATCAACAGGTTAAAGTGTTCGGTGTCTTATTTCTAAAAAAAGATCTAGACGACAGTCTGTACTATATATCTCTATACTTTGCTAATAAGCTCAAAATACATTTCCAATATTACTTACTACAAAACTACAGTACTCACCTGAGATTCCTTTAAAGCCCTACTTATGTGCTGGATGGAAGGTATTATGGGAGAATCAGCCACCACCTTTGAAGGAGTAAATGCGTCAGATATGTTTTTCATTCGAACATCTTGATGGGCTAAATCAATCGCCCTCCGACATATATCTAGCGCGGTACGTGCATCCCCTGTAGAAGCAGCAATCTAAATTAAATATGCTGACAACATTAATACATGTTACTGGAAAGAACAGCAAACTATAATCTAACATTACATTGGAGTTTAAAAACAGTTGATTCTTCCCTAAGAGCAGTGATCAGTGTTTGAAAGGAATATTTCAAATAAAACGTCACTGAACTGTTGAGGTAATGAGTTATTTATACAATAAGATAAATCCCTTACATATGTTCTTAAAAAAATAGTTTTGTTTTAGGATAAGCTATACTTTACTACAAACTTCAATAGATTAATAAAAAGTACATTAGTAATAAGAAAAGGTAACTAATAAACTGGTAATCTCTCTTAAGTAGTTACCAGACATAGAATTAATTTATCTTCAACCAAGGTATTTCAAGCGTGTACATACTTTTTTCTCAAATATATTCAGAATATTTCAGTTAGGATGAAAATGAAAATCTTGCGAAAGTCTTAACCTCTATAAAAGTAACATAGTTAACATTGCAACAATAATTAGGGTAGTAATAAAACTAACATGCGAACGTGTGATACAGAAATATTGCTAAAGATATTAAGTGAGTATTCAAAAATTCCTTCAGGATCCCCAAGCCATGTGCACCATTGGTTTGGAAACAGGGTCTTCTTACTCCCTTAGGTAGGCCCTCCGTATCCACCAACCCGGTTGAAGCACTGGACATTCACTTTTCGTCTTCTTAATTTCGTAAACGACACCTTCGCCACAAGAAGGCAGTAAGAAGGATTTCCCTGGCGGTGGCTGTACACGCGTGGCCATGTGAGAGCATTTCGAGAGGGAGAGCGAACTCTCCTTATCCTCAGCCGTACCAGGGAATTCGGAGGCAATCCACAGTCATAGGGCTTTGTCGTTTATTTCATACACTTGACGAGAAACAACTAGTTTCACTGCTAAAATAGATCATCAATTTTGATGCAAAAAAAATGAGGAGTACTATGCAGACCGAAACTGATTGCCTCACACACTAACACGGAAAAAAGAAACGCTGGAAACCGAGACCTCGAGAAAAGTTTGGTCTCAGTACGACGCTAACGGCCAGTATCCACTCCTACCACAACCGACAAAAATTTCATATTTTGCAGACCACACCAATACCGCATCATATATCTGAAGTATAAAGGTTGACTACTAAATTTAAATGGCCCCTGATGTAGTGTATACTTTTTAGTGTGTCCTGGTGAAAACTTAACTCCTGTTGATGATTACTTTATAGAAAGACTCAAGGATTGGGTAAGTAGTAAATAATCTGAAATATTACAAATCGAATAGCTCACTTTTCTAGAACATAGTTGTATAGCCAGAGGTTCTATACATGACCCACTATTTGATGATTTGGATAAATGAGCTTGAACAATTTCAGCAAGCTCAGATTGTGAATATGGTTGAAATATAATATGAGTGGGTTTGTGAACTTTTGATTTCAAACGTGGCAACAAACGTTCCGGTAAATCTAAAGCATTTGCCACCCCAATAACAATGATGTGACAAGTAAGTTTTGATGGCCATTCGAAAATTCTAAAAGGTAAGTGTAGTTATAAAACGCGGACGTTTAATTAGTGATAACGAGGAAGTCAATAATTCACAAAATAACCATAAAAATATACGAATTCATGAGTGGTCCTGATTTTAAAAAATTAAGTAGTATCATAAGATTGGTTAAAAGAGTTTCACCTAAGATCTTTTTAGCGCCATACTACACTTTTAGTTGAGCACTAACGAAACCACAAGTTTTATAATTAAAGTACATAAAGACAATGAATCCACAAGAATAAAAGTATATACCTACAAGTTGCGAATGAAATCTCTTAAACCGAATTTTTTCTTAAGTTTGGAAAAAATTAATCAAATGAAACCGTCATTTAACCGAAGCAAGATATAACGCAGAACAAATATTGATTGGTTTAATGTGTGGAATGCTAAAACCAGCAAGACAAGAAAACAAAAGCGATGGACTGAAATTAACGAACTAGTGCAATAATAAAATGAACAAATAAAACCATAAAGGAGAATGAATGGATAGTCAAGAAATATAGGATAACAAAGACTGAACAACTTTATATCATGATGAATTAAGAATTACCGATGGATGATTGTGTCGGCTGAGTGATTATGGTAGCTACTAACTTTCATCTATTTAGATTAATATAAAATTAATTTAATTCAAAATAGAACATTAATAAAGTGTCCCAACAGTTACGGGAAATAAAACCACCTGTAGAGTAGCTTCTGACTACGAGTAGATAACTGATCCACTTCATCTAAAACTAGGATAATGGTCTGTTTTTGTGGTTGTTGATTCAAAAAGCATTCCAATGAATCAGCATCGCTAATAGAATTATTTTCCTTGCCATTGTGAGCTTCTAAAACGATAGATATTCGTCCAAAAATATCTGCACATGACGTTAATTGCATACAATTAATCACAGCAGCATTACATCTGCCAAACGTTTTAAAATTTTGAACAACATGTAGAACAACTGCTGTTTTTCCAGTTCCTGGAGCCCCACTTATATATAAACTAGCACTTTTCTTCGTATCTATGTAAGACTGAATCAAAGATGTCAAACGACTGATTTCGTTTGCTCTTCCAACAATCAGTGCATTAGATTCCGCAAACTGATTTGCAGAGTTGGATGTGAAATCGACCATACATTGTGTAGTACATGAATCAAAGACCACAGGTGGGTGGATTTCTTTTTGATCATCAAGGAAAGTATTGAATTTATCCAATGTATTGCTTTGATCTTTTAATTTAGAAGATTCATAACCGACAGATGTGACGCTTCTACAGGAATCAGGGGGACTCGGTCGTCTTTGCTGAGTGAGACGACTTCCTGGGGTTTCTGTTGAGCCGGAAGATACCGAGGGGATCACAGAGAAAACTCTTTTGCATCGATGTTTCCGAGATACAACTTGTTCTAACTTATTTTCCCTGATACTAGACCTTAAGACACGACTCATTTGAAATGTCGAAAATATTCACCGGTTTAAATGTTAGCATGAAATGATATAGATGTGGTTGATAAGGAAGCTAAGAAGAGATAAAAGATAAACGTATTGGTTTAAAACGTGGGAAATTATACATCAAAATACATCAGAAGATTACAGCATCTTTAATAAATTGTAAATTGTTTATTTATAAAAAGAAACAGAACAATAAGATAAAAAAGAACGACTTGTCATAGTTTAGTATTTTATCTTGATAGCCAGACCACAATTTATAGACGAACTAATCAAACTTAAAATAGGTCGACTTTGGTGCAAAATTCATTCATCCACAGAGCTAAATAATGTTTTGGATCTACAGTTGATATTGGTTTGTTAAAAATTTAACTCCGATTTCTCAAACTAATTTGCAACGTTCGCTTAACCCCAGTAAGTTGATGGTTACCTAAGCATCACTTAAAAGTAATCCATAAATTGTAGTCTCGCCGTCACAGTAACAGCTTTTTATTTGAACCTAACAAAAAATAGAACATCTGAGGAGAACTACTCACAATTTCAAATCATTGTTATACCAGCTCTAACTATTCAGTGTACTTCTAAAGACATTATCCAGGAATTCATGGACAATGAACTACAAACATAAAATACCATTTCACAAACGAACTAATTTTTCACCGCATTCTTGAAGTCACTAACCTCTAGTCTGGGCCATGTTGGCAGATGCAGACTACCTGGTTGCGGTCCGCGTGACTATCGTAACCAATAGTTGGAGACTCTAGGTGACATAGCTCAGAATCGATCACAATGGCGTAGGTGTATACACTCTTTATCTTTCCTTAAACCTTAAGATTAAAATCGCTTCATAACGTTCTTCCTTCCTATACTATATCCTTATATACAACCTATCTTTTATATACTACCACCACTAAATTAACTATTCTTATGAATCCAGTGTTCATCTTGTTGTGCTAACGAGATATGGCAACTTGGACCGATGCATATGTGTGCCTGGTCCTACGTTGTAGCTAAATGACTGACTGACTCTTACAATACTTACGTCAGGAAATGTGGAAGCCACTAAGACAGTGGACTATGGAAGAATTTTATTAAGACTACACTACTCATTTACTGACGGTTTTTACTGTTTGAAAGCGTGACACTCCAATACTACATTGCAGTGCTGCTAGCCCATATAGATCATATACTGAAAGCCATGATAACGTAGAACCATCATCTCCCCATTTCAGGCACTAAAACTTTAAAATTGTATTAGACTTACGCAGATCTGCTACAACGACATTACCTGTGAGTCATACCATCACATTACAAATGTGATAGCTTCACGACATAAAAATATACACTCACCAGAACGAATGACATTAAGGGCTTACCAAGTGATTCACAATTGCCTTTACGCACAAACAACTCCAATCTACTGTCGAGTGAATTTAGATTAACGTTTTCTAAAATTTTACGAGTTCTTCAGACGTTGGAGATAAGAGGTACGTAATATGCCTACGAATGCTGAGTGCCAATTGATGAAGTTTCAACCAATTAGTTTAAGTATTTGGAGAGAAAGTAAAACTGTTCAACAAGCCAGTGCGAAGATGTTTTTACCAATCCAGTACTCTTCGACCACAAAAACCAACATCTGCAGAAAACAGTCGACAGCAAAATCAAAACGTGCAACTAGATCAGATGGCAGGAATTACCCTAGGAGTAAACTGCCATATGAGATTCAAATATATAGTGGATTGTGTTGAGTCTATATCTTTGCAGATCTCTCCTCAGGGGAGATAACAGACGTCAGCTGAAGATTGGGTAAGAAAATAAAATGCACTCACATTTAGTAATGAGCTAACCGATAACAATCAGTGACAGCGTGCGACCAAAGTAATCCAGCAATCACAAACGGAAGCACCGGAGTGAGATTTAAAGTTCATTACACCTAAAATGTTTCGTCTTTGGTAGGTCTGCGTCTAAACTGAAGGTACCTTGTGTGCAGGGGGTGTGAGGAGCAGTGCGATTGTCGGGAAAACAATAGACATACGTGAGCCGCCGCTCAGTAAGCACGAGGAATGCATATAAATTTAATTGAGAAAGCGAGTGAAAACAATCAGCAGTAACACTAGCTTGAGATTAGGACAACATATTAGTTGAAACAAGAAGTCGATAGTGTAAAATCTCAAATGTGTTACAGGCACATAAAATAAGCTTTACCTTTTTAAAGCCACATGTCGTTCTGTTTCAACGACCTTGAACGGCCTGACAAGAGGCGGTCATTCCGTATTACAAATGCTGAATGTCTGTTGTGTGTCCGTTGGGTTGCACGAATATCATGTTTATTCATATTTATGTGGTCTTTTGCTGCGTCAAAACCACTAAATCATTGCGAAGAACATTGGTTTAGCTCTCTTTGACTTTTAGTGCACACGTTGGACAGATTGCTGCTTCGTAACCCCCTATTTTGGGGGAAATTTTGTCCGGTTACAGTAAATTTGAGGGCTGATTTAGATCGACAGCATCCTGTTCTGTTTTTTCGGAAGCCGAAATGAATTGCGAGCAAATATAACGTGGATCGTGGGTAAATTGTGACATCCCGGTGCCCTTGCCGGCATATACTATCGGCATACATAAGAACTCCTACATGTAAGCTCGATGATTTGTGAAATACAAACTGTATAATTCATCATGTTTTTAGACATTGTAGTTGATAGAAGATAGATAATATTCACACCTTCCATAATAACAACAATTTCACTACCCAGACTAAACGAACAGTATGTACAGATTCAACGAAGCCAATTTTTACTTAAGAATCATTAATAAATAGGTAAGACTGTAGTTTCTCTAACGCTTGTCTTTGTGTAGTATCCTTTGGGATGGAAAACATGGATCGGAATACAACAAATTGTGGAGAAGTGGACCTACAACCCTATAACATACGCATCATAATTTAGTATTAACTACGACATGGTTTCGTTACCACGCTCAAAACAAACACACATTGCTTTACTTATGAAGAATGTGTGGCTAATTTATGTAGCACTTACAGTAATGTTATACAAAATTCCTGTATATGTTCAGAAACACACAGAAAAGCCTACCAACGTCAATTGTTACCCACATAATTTTCCTTGCTCAGATACGTTGCATAATAATATGTCAGTTCAGTCAAAAACAATTAAACTTGTAGTGGATAGAATTGTTAATGGCTGTATATTAGCAAACTATATAATATTGAAGATAGTTTAAGGAAGTATGCCAATCAAGAGAAATCAGAAGTCAGGAATGAGTGAGTTCGGAGATATGTTTGGAAGGTTATAGGTCCGTCGAAAAAACGTTTGATCTGAGCTGGCTAGTAGTTAAAGGGGATGTGTAGCATGGTGTATCCGCTCGTAATCTGGTACGTATGAGTGACCGAGCGCCTTCTATTGGGTGAGTCCACTAAACCTAAATATATATATATATATATAGAACGTGTGTACACATTTCATATTACATTATGGATTCACAAGTGGGATGATGCTGTAACATGAGATATTCATTCAGGTACTGACAGTACTGCAACTGTTTTCATATCTCAGTTATACAGAAGAGTAACGTTTATTTCTTTATGCAGAACACTGTGAATACAGCTCAACGACGACCTAATGTAGTCAACAGAAATCAAATGATGGTAGTTAAGAATACGAATTCATAAATGACTGGCGAAAAATTTCCCCACAATTTATTTCAGTTTAAATATACAACCTAATTTATAACTCACCAGTCTCTCAACGACGCCACTGCTTATCTATTGCGCTAGTCATTGAAAATACTGGAAAGACAGGACTATCTTCATGGGGTGAATTGACGGTGATTGCGTGTTGGCACCATATTTCCTCCTAGGGGCCGTTCGCTTAGTTCCATGGAGAACGCCCATACAACCCTGGTGTGTGCGAAAACAGACATGCTAATGTTGACACTCATGACGCGACGAAAGCTATTCGCGTGCGCTCGAACGTGTGGTTTTTGTCAGTGAGTGGATCCAACAGTCCTCCCTCTAAGGAAGTCTTTTACATCCTTTGGACTACACCAAGTGTTCTGAGATACTCTCCACCATGGTTTACTAAGGAGTTCTACGTAAGAGGAGAAGAATGTGGGAAAGATGTATGTTACTGGTTGCTGAGGAAACGAAATCTCATTATCGAGGAGCTGTAAATATTTTTGCCTTGACCTTCCACAAGTCCAGAAGGTTGTACGAAGAAAAATCCTTAAAGAATCTATTGAATGCCCTAAACGCTTATACTCCTACATAAAACAAAGGACTAAGAGATGAGGAAATGTTCCAGCACTATGGGGAGACGGTAATACTTTATAATTAATGAAGGACGACCATTGTGAAGATAAAACATTCTCAAACCACTCCAGTAATGTATATGCCGTAGAGACTCCCTTTCCGTCGGCTTATACAATTCCCCCTCACACACCCTGGTTGTTAAAATTTCAGAAAAGACTACTCGGAAGGAGTTGTTTATGTATCTCGATGGAATCCGGATTCTTTCGGAAAAACAGCAGGGATTTAGAATAGGTTATTCCTGTCTCACTAACTTGTTAGTGGCTCGTGAAGGCTGTTGCGCTTTTAAAGACCGAAAGTTACATATAGACGTAACCCACATTGACATCAGCAAAGCTTTTGACAAAGTTCCTCACAACCGGCTGTTATATAAGTTAAGAAATGTCGGGGTTAGAGGCAATTTAATAATGCGGGTAAAAGACTTCCCAGCTGGGCGCCAACAAAGAGTACGGGTGAACTCCAAGTTGTCTAACTGGGAAATTGTACCTAGTGGAGTGTGTTAATGTACACTTTTTGGGATCAGTGTTATTTCTTCTCTATGCAAATAACTTGCCTAATCTCCTTTCATCATCGGTCTTGTTATATGCTGATATGGAGAATGTTGAAAAGAAAAGGTGATAGCTTGGGGCTTCAAAATAACCAGGGAAAATTATATGAATCGTCTCAAACCTGGCAGTTACCGATAAACACTTCCAAGTGCATTATGGTTCTCTTGGTCACCAAGGTATAGATACATACACGATGAATAGCATTGAACTACGTGTTGTCCAGACACACGATGACTTAGAAGTCATCGTTAGCTAAGACTTGAAAACTGCTACACACTGCCGTGCAATAGCCACCACAGATCTTAGAACCCTATGGTCAAAACGTAGGGCGTTTAGCCAAGTCGACGCTAAAACGATTTTGATTTTGTATGTAGTTTTCGTGCGTACTGCATACGAGCAGCTAGCCCCTGCTTAAAAAAGACAGTGAAATTTTGGAAATTATCCAGCGAATAACGAAGCTTCTGTATCATGTTCAACTGGCTAAAACAAACCTATTCCCATTGTCATATCAAAGATCCAGAAAAGACTTGATTAAAGACATCAAAGCATTCATTGATAAATTGGCATCAGAAATCTCTTGATTTTTCTTGCTTACGAAAACAGAAAACTTACGAGGACACTGCCGAAACGTCCACATGCCCAGGACAAATTAATTGTCAGCTGATTACCGCCTTTCCCATCAAATCATAAACGAGTGGAACTCATTATCTCAACACGTGATTGAAGCTCCATCTCCCCACTCTTTTGAAAGGAATTTGGATCAACTGAGCGATCACCACTGCCAGGACCAACACAAGCCTCCTAATCTTATTCCCTTCCCAAGACAGAAACTGAAATATGTGGATCGTTACGAACGCATCACTTTCGTTACTTGAAGAGTGGAGCCCACCAGACATAGTGTCGCTGAATTCAAACGAAATTTAAAACTGTATTGACTTGGCCGCTTCTAAAGAAACTTACGGATAATTGAAGTGACGCACTAATCGTTTTACGATCGTTTGACCTACAAGTGCCCATTAACCTTCGCCAATGGGTGATGTCAGTGAGTTGTTGACATCGTACCTTCTGACTTTTGTCGATTGCTGTCTTTAATAAACGGAAGTGCATTTCAAGTGCTTACTGAGTCATTGACTCACTTTTCCGTCTTTCTTTCTTCACCCGGATAATCTCACTTACTGTTCCTAACACTCCTCCAGCATACAGGGTACCTCCAGGTAGGACGCAATCCTACTAATGTCTGGATGTTACACCCAATGTATTGACGATTTCGACGGCGAGACCATAATCAATGGGCAAACCAATCAGATATAAGATAACATGTCTTGGACTGGAACGAAACTCACTCATCAACTTGACTAAATAACGTTTTGGTATTTTAGCTGATGTCAGTTCATAATGCAAACTCTGAGTCTAGTTCCTAACCTTAACCATCAACTGTAAATTATAGTTCCAATTCCTCACATTCTTTATAACCTTCATCTAGTCCTAGTTAATATGCAGATATTCTCAAGGTCACTTTGGCGTCGCCCAATAGTTGTCCGTGAATCATAGTACCACCTCATCGTTACCGCCTGAACTAATACCAAGTTCCCCTCCATTTTTACCATCCTTGTGTGCTTGGATGTTCTTCTGCACTATATCAAGCTTTTCATTTACAACGGAATATAGTGGTAATTCATTTGTTTTGTATAATGACAAACTTCCTATTGAAATTTCGGTAGGATTAAACTATACTGCCGAGTTAATCAGAAGCTTTCGCGGGTTTTCAAGGTCACGGCGCTAAGTTCGGTATCTGATGCTTACGTACGGTCGGTTTACAGCGGATTTTAGGGGAGACGTGATAATTTAGCGTCTACAATAGAAGCGATCATAAGATTTTGGCGCGAAATTCAATTATCCATTTGGATAAATAGAGTTTTGGCATTATAGCTGATGACAGTTCGTAATGAAAACCCTAAGTATAATTCCTAGCCTTCATCATGAACTGTAGATCATAATTTGAATTATTCACACAGGTTTATAACCCTCATTTGGTCTTAGTTATTATGTTGACACTCTCAGAGTCACTCTAGCGTCGCTCAAAGGTTGTCCATAACTTATAGTCTCACCCATAACACTAAACCCTGCACCTAAACCTTAACTCTAACCCCAACCTGTAAACCATATCAATATACTAACATTATTGAAGCTATGTGGTCGAGGTTAAAAGAATTTTTGAGACCTTATCATGGTTTCAGAGGTCGACTACTATGGAGCCATATGGATGTGTTCCTGTACCGTATGCACTATGATTTTAGAACTTCTGAACCTATATCTGACCTTGAGAAGTTTTTGACCCAAGTAAAAGAAGTGTTTCTACTTTATTTCTTTGGTTTTGTATGATGTATTTTTACTGTATACTAACTGGCTTCTGATTGGCTGATATTTCTCAAGGTCATTTAAGATTCGTTCGAAGGTCGGCAGTATAGTTTAATCCTACCGAAATTTCAGTTGTAATACTTTAAAGTACTACACTACTTCAGTACTTGTATTCTAACATAATTAAAATGTGTATTGTATAAAATTTTGAATACATTCCATATTTCCACGATAAATTTCCGTCTACGAAAGTACACATATATGTGCTTTTGTATTTTCCTATACGTTAGATAAAATTGTATTAAACAAAACTGCGTGATGGAGAGTTATATTGTATGCAAATGAATTTTTTGCGTCGGAATCAGATGGTACATGCTGTTCAGTGTAATATGGAAGGCATTTTGACAGGAAATCCATCTGGGAAATATTTTGCGTTAACATTTTTTTCCATGGGCCGGTGGACAAAGCATGTGTCCAACTTTTCTGGAATCCTCCCAAATCTCTTTTATGTTTTCCCAAGTTCTTGTTCGGTTACTATCATAATTCGGCTACAGATAATTGTATACTCTATCAAAACCTGGGAATTTGATAGTTACGTATAATTCCATTAAAAACTATACACTATGTGGGTTCTATGGTTTATTTTACATGCTTCGGATCTAGGGAAGCACATTTGGATTCTAGTGCTATGTAGTAATCAACAGTCAAATTCACTATACTAATCCCAGGATCGTTTGGTGAGTCTTCTGATAGTGATGCATGAAATAACGCTCAAGTCAGATAGAAGACAGCACACATGTGTGTTGTATTTTGCAACCGAAATTACATGTGGAATAATGTACAGATTAATCGAAGTTACTTGCAAACATCGCTAACTATATAGGCTAAATCTGTGGTGGTAGATGCATGTTGTACAAATATGGATATTATGGTTGTACACTGTCTTTGTGTGACACCATTAGACCTTGTGAAAACTCACAGTATTTTCAACTTATTTACCTTTGTTTTCCTCCAAATATCCCTGTTAGTTATTTTGCCTGTCAAGTAATTCACACTAACTTTCTGGTTTCGTCAGTCACCGTTTCTTTTTTATTTCGTTTGTAGTTATTTAAATGAATACAGATGCTCCATTGGAGTCGATAATCGGACATTCTAGTATTCACTCAACGTCAAATAGACATCCACTACTTTGGAATCCCATACTGATTGGATGCGGGATTACGACTGTTACTTCATGCTACATTTTTTGGTCATTCATTTCTCCTGCATTTCGGAAAATCTGTTTACCATTCTTACCTGCTACGTCGCCCCAACTAGATTATACATACAAGCTTCTCAAGTATGCACAAAGTCAAAAAAATGATAAGTCTTTAGGATCTATAATTGATTTAGGCAGTGGTGATGGACGCGTGGTTAGTATGCATTGTTTTTGTTTCCGATTTCTTATTTAAACAGACATACTAGTTTTGCTGCAGATACTTGGTAAAGGGTTTGTTTCAAAACATCTTATATTGTTGTTACTTTTCTTATGTATTTTTTGCGACTGGAATTCTGTAGCCAATTCAGATTTATTTTGTGCCGGTCCGGCCAAAATTATTATCTAGATGAATCGTAGATAAAAGCTTGTGAATTCCTAAAATAGAAGCCTTCCATATAATAATACAAGCTTTTTTGAAATGTCATACGCGTAATCAACTTTCAAATGTAAAATGTAACTTCCGGATCTCCTTGCGTCGTCTCTCGAATTAGTGATAGGGAGTAAAGTAGTTGAACGCGTCGACCTGGGTCACTTATTTTGGGAGTCCTATCATGCTGATAGTTTGGTGTCTGATGAAACCTCGGCATGAACTCAGAATACTCAACTGGATTTTTCCATCTTGTGTCACATGTAGCTTAGGCGAGATATCCGTCTTCCAACTAAAGGACGAGTTTACTGCGCAGCAGTTCTCTGTGTTATACTTTAGGAATGTAAAACATGGTCATTAAGAATTGAGGATATTCGTAGGTTACTGACATTCGATCAAAGATGCCTTCGAAGCATAGCTCGTATATTTTGGGACCACAGAGTAAGCAATGAGTGGTTAGGAATAGAGTAATAGATAAAGGTGGGGAATCGATTGGATGGGTAGTTAATGTTCATTAACTGAAGTTGTCGGGACATGTGTTCCGTATGCCCAACTACCACCTACCTCGACGGGTAATGTTTTCTAGTGCAGGAGTTGGTTGAAAGAAAAAGCTAGGAGCGGACATATTAGTAGGTATAGACTACCTGATTAAAGTTCGCGTTATTACCGTAACCAGTGGTTAGGGACTGACACGTTTTCAAATTGTTTGCAATTGCTCATGTGCGTCCATCCTTTGTCTTCTCTCGAATCCCGAGATACTAAATTCCTCATAATTTTTGTTCTTATTCTACTGTTATGTATTTTCTTTCAATCTTTAATCTTTCCTATAGCCTCTGATATTGTTACTACCTCTACTATTCTGGGGTTCGGCCTGACAACCTCAACCCTTTGTACTAAAAGGGTACGGCATCTTAAACTAATATACATACGTACAGGTTCTACGTTGTGACTGAATAACAGATTGACTGACCTTTTATCATGAAGAGAGCACGAACAAAGATTTGAACAGAGCAACATTTTATTTCGTTTGGTTTGCGTCACCTGCTTACAACTCATAATATTTAAAAATCGTAGTTATAAAATGCGTCGAAATTGCTGACAAATCAGTTTAATTGGAAGTGGCAATGAACACACGTCAGTATAGTACAGCAAAAATGTAAATAAACTTGACAGACTAAACAAAATATCATGAATATGTATCTTATGTTGAAGAATATTCTACGATGTCGAATATCTTTGAATTTACTTAAGCGCAAATATTGATACAAAGGGACATCAAGATAAATATGCGCCACAACCAAAATGAGGTAGGGAAAAACGTATGATAATAAACGAGAAATTAGTATATAAGAGTGAAAAACAACTATAATAATTGGAGAGGCAGTTTGGTTATGAAAAACACAACCAGAAAGCATCCTTTTGGTTAAAGTTCCTCTCTATTCTGAGTCATATCTGACAAATTCCCAAGTCACTGTAGTGCACTACTTCTTGGACCCCAAACAAAGTTTCGAAGGACTGATAGGTGCCAGTCTTGTACTACTTTCTTCCGTACCATGACACCATGTCATACACTGACCACCTCCGCTTTTCCCAACCAGTCTCAGCACCAGCAAATAATGCACGATGTGGAACTCTCTGGGACGATGGTCGTAGTGCATGTTCAAGCCACCGATGTCGGTATTTCAAGATGGTAACATCAGTTGGATTATCGTCACTGTCCATGAACACACGCTGCCTAACCCTTGCGTTACTAGCCTAGTGTTGCCGATGGACATCAGCAATCCGTCAGAGGCAACAATGATCAAGCATGGAGAAAAACTGCTCTCGTCGACGCGTTATAGATCCGGTCTTTTGCAGTCAGACTAATATCACGAAGACACTAAAGATGACCCAGATTGGTATAAGCCACTCTGAATTTCACTATACATGAATTGGTCTCGTCATTCACTTCATCACCAGCACTTATGCAGCTACTCAGATACACGGACTCCTCAACTACTTCTAACTATTCACTTTCAGGAGTGAGTGCAAACACACAGTCCTTCCAGTTTTCTAAAAGTACTATGCTTTTAGAGTGTGCAACGCAATCGACATACTTGCTCACAATGCCAACTGATTAAGTGACGTTTGCACAGTAAGACAATATCATCCACATAGTCAAGGTTTAAAAGTCTTTGTCCAGATAACAGATTCACATCACCATTACATACATCCATCGGAGCTGTTTCTAGAACGTCATTGATGGTAAAGTTGAGGAGTGTTAAGACTAGGCAAACCTGCCTAACCACACTACCTGAATAGAACAGTGGAGAGAGGTGGTTGTATGTCTCCACTGTGCCTGAGGTGTTTGTATATAGGGTCTTCAGTATGTTGATAAACTTCTCATGCTCACACTTGTTCAGAGAACAGCCCCATCCAAAGGATTGAAGGTGGGCTAGATGTCGAGAAACAAAGACTGTTGACCTGCATTAAGTGTGACGATGTTCTAACATTTGGTGGGGGATAAATATTTGATCAATACATCCTCAACGGAGATAAAAACCGTCTTACTCTTTGAACTAACTAGCGACCAAAGTGACTTTGAAATTGGCAATGAACTAATAACACAACAATTTTACAAGGCACAGGTTGATAAGTTTCTGTTTTCAAAATTAACTTCAACTCTGCTCAAATGAGTAGCTATACTGTATTTATTTATTATTTATTTAAACACATATATATTGGTACAAAAGGGCACCAGGTACATATGCGCCACACTATTGTGTGTGTGGGCTGTGATACTGCCCGGGTGCCCAAACCGAAGCAGGTGGTTTTCGTAGGGGGCCACACCCCGAGCCTTCGACCAAAAGGTCTGATCCACAAGGCAGTGGAGCATCGTGAGGAGATGCAGTCCCATGGTAGCCGTTGACCAATGACAGGTTTGTCCGCCATTCGTTCCATCAGGATACTGGAGCCCATGTGCACCATTGGTTTGGAATGAGGGTTTTTCAACTCCCCTAGGTGGACCCTCCGTGTTCACCAACCCGGTTAAATCGCCGGACATTCGCTTTTTGTCCTCTCACTTTCGTAAACAACACCTTTGCCACGAGAAGGCAGTGAGTAGGACTTCCCTGGCAGAGGCTATATATTCGCTGGCCGTGTGAGAGCATTTGGAGAGGGAGAGTAGACTCTCCCCACTCTCGGCCGTACCAGGGCATTTGGGGACCTATACTGTATTAGAATGTATGATCAAAGTTACTATATCGCTGTACATAATCTTTTTATCATCCGTTTGTAATCGTTTTTTTCATATAATGTACTTTTATTGCTTAGTCGCTTTTGTTTTTCTTTCGGTGTTTTTTTCCTAAATCATAGTTGATTGATTTATTAAGTCGGCCAACATTAAAAATCACTTCTGCTCATGGTGTAGAGTTAAATCGTCCGCTTGTTTGGTATTCACGTATCAAACTCTTTTGTAGTAATAAATTACTCACTACATCCAAAGTAACTTTCTCTTGTAAAAATATGTGGAAAACTAATCTTTCTGTATATGATACAGTCTTACTGTTTGGTGTAGATACAATGGTGAGTAAATTTATTGATGTTGTGTTTCTGATAAGTTCATTCAATTTAGATTGTTATTGCCAATAAAACCATTTAAAATATCATTGACACAAACTGCTTCGACTTTAGCGCCCAGGCAGTGTCCATGCCATCACACAAATCAAATGATTTGTGTGGCGCATATATATTTGGTGCCTCTTTGTACCGATATCTATATGTTTAGATAAATAAATATTAAGAGCAAGTATAAAGAGCAAGAATCGGTCTTAGTTTTGTTGTTTATTACTTTCTCTTGCCACTACATTTGGAATTATTAATGGGTGTTTACTTATTCAGTGCAGATGAATATGCTGTGATCGTTTTCATGAAATAGTACATATGTACATCACTGTTTATTAAAGACTTATTTTGATTTGTTTTTGTTAGTGTTGTTTGTGATAGATAAGATTACACATTAATGGAGAGAGTTGTTAAACTACTGTTTCATGCTAACGTGTACATTTCCAAACTCCGCGTTCATCGATGACCATATTACGATCAAACCTAGAATCATCGGGTTATAACTGGTATTATAGGCTTTATTAAACTAGTAATTTTTTATGCAAACTGTTCTCTTTAGGCGATACATTTTCTTCTCATCATACATCATTCTGCTCTCAATACAGGCTACAATGCTTTCAGAAAGTTTGCCGCTGCACTCAAGTCGTTACTAAATAGACACAGAGAATTAATTTCATATTGGTAGATTTTTCAAAATGCTTATAGTTTTGTAATAGTGACTGTCTGTGTTAAGCATTATTTTAGTGCAATACGAGATTTTTAGTATAATTAAAATGGTCACTAAGTCAGATGATCATTTATATTTTTCTATTATGAATTAGTGTATGACAGTTATCTTATTCATAATGCTATTGCGGATCTTGGAAACGTAAAGTATTCGCAAAGCAATTACATATTTACAATTATTTAAATTTATAGATGGAATCTATCGAACAGAAACTAACCAAAGAATTAAGTAATGGTTCAATCGTCATTACAGCCAGATATCCGCTGCCTAATATTCAAGCATCCAAATCCATTATTGATGGACCCCACTCAGTATATTTGTACAAAATGTAGTTATTACTAATATGACTTTGTAACTGATTACGTTCTGTGTATTTGTTCGATCGTTCCTTTGTTTAACAAACCACAAAATGTCTTCAACTTATTTCCTAACATCAATTAGCTAATTATTTTAAAATAATATCTACTTAAAAGTTGAATGCTCCAATATGTAGCGGGTAATATCCTTCTACTATTGGTTGATATCCGTTTTCTTTTCTTAAAGGTTTGGCTATTAATAGTAAAAGAGATAATGATCGGCAGTCTTCTGGACTTCTAACAAGTTTGAACTTAGTTCCTCTGATCCATGGTTGGTTGGGAAATGGGTGTTTTGTCTTAATGTGCTATATTTGAATGTTATTAGGCCAAATGCAGTAGTGTCATCTTTGAAAAGACTAATAGTCCGTGTCTATTGTACTTAGTTAGTTATTCAGTGTCATGAATTCTAATTGTCAACAGTATACCGTTTTTCTGATTAATCAAGTATCCTTATATTTATTTATTCGTATGTTTTCATCATATCATCATGGAGATTAATGTTAGTACGACACTGCTTAGTCAGCAGTAGGTAAAATACTTAAATATCCGCATATAAATTTGAGTTTTTCACAAATGTGAGATGGAAATTGAACTGGTCAACATGTTTATTAAGTGGCTTTTCAAATCGTAAGATTGAGAAAATCCTTAAGGAATGAGTATGTACTGTGTCTCATGTTGTTTTTGAATCGAGTTGACATTACTAAGAATAATACATAGCTTTTTAACCATATTCTTGAGTTGATACGCCAAATATACTCGTCATTTTTCATGTTATCGTGATACTTTTTGGGTAATTCATAACGTTCACTTTTATTAGTTAATCATCTAACGAAACTATACATGTCATTTTTATATCATCAAAAAAAGATACCCACCCAGAGTTATGAAAATAAGCCACTTAGACTTTCTGGAAAGACCGGAATCAGTGATTATGACACTTATGAGAAGAGTGTCATTTTTATGATGAGATTACGTCATTCTGAAAAGCCGAGAATTAAGAACTGCTATTAGCCAACTCAGAACTACTCAGCAGTCCTAACACAACCCTGACAGTAATACACTCAATGCACTCAGGTTTTCGCATTCGACTCGTAACTTTCAAACGAATGTGATTAAAAGTTCATTCAAACGCGCCACCACAATCTGCTTGAATGATACTTGAGTTTGTCGTTAAGTGAAACTACATTTGTGTGCTTCTAGAGATTACTAAAGTGAATCAAAACATCTGACTAACACGAGTTGACTTTTATTAGTTATCCCGAGGATGTCGCATTTGCAATAAACGCTACGTCAGAATAGATATAGTCTGTTCCACTCCAAATACTTCTGTAAATTTGCAATAGTACTATTGGTGAAAAAGCAAAACATGTGTTAAGCAAATCAAAGAACCGAAATTGACGTTATTAAAATGCTTATTGACTAATCTCTTCCATGTGTTCTCCAACGGTGTATATAATGAATCCATAAGAGTATTGTTCCTATATGTAGCACAATCACATATATCCATCCTGTGGTGAGTAGATAATCTCGTCTGGTAGGGACGTTTGCTGACTGTGATTGATCAGTTCCTATTGACTCATTCAAATGTGGTTGTGGTGCATCTTGGAAACCGGTTGTACTCCGATCGTCGACTTCTTCAACTGTTATTAATTGTTCGTTTAATCCATATTCACTTGTTGACGTAACATATTGTTGACTATATAAATCACATAATTTTACTGCGTTTATTAGGTCCTCACGTTTTGTTTGTGATATGTTGATGTCTGATTTTGAATGAAGCTGGAAAATAAATAAAAACAATTGTGAAAATGTATAACTATTGATCGAATTTTCAGTATTTATTGTGTGTTTAGTAGGAGTGTCAATTTGATCAGTGGGTAGATGAGTTCAGATTTCGGTTGTTCAAATTTCTGCAACACCGACTCCACTTGATGTAACAGAGTTGTGAATATTCCTTGACTGGTTATGAAGTTCTCATTAGGTCGTATAAACTGTGTAGGATATAAGATGGAGTGAGGATTCGTATGGAAGTAAGCAGGTCTTTGCAATGAATTCTACATGTCTAACGACCTGTAGTTTATTCTGCACTAAACAGGACACTTCCTGAATCAACGTTTTACAATAGTCAGAAACGACATACTGAAAACGATGAGTAAATGTAGTTCAGATGCAGCAATTTAGCAGTTTTATGACAAAAAATATTGTATCGCATCCTCTATTTCGAATAAGTGGGTGTGGGTTACTGACTAAAGACTGAACTTTGAGTTACTGAACTGCAGGTTTCCACTCCAATCCCACCTTCTTCGGTTTTAGGTTGCTGAAGGGCACGAAGAATGTCTGGGACGAAGCTGAAGTAACTAAACTGTGATTGATGGTTAACTCCCGTTAATTTACACCTTCATCACGTAATAAGTCATTCGTGTAGGTACCACAAAAACCGACAGTATATGGTTTGTTTTTGCAAAATTTATCTGTTTTACTACGACAAATATCTGGACAATTTAGATGTGGATCAATCTCACGAAAGCATAAACCCAATCTACAGAGAGGAAGAAATGAAACAATTAGTAATATAATAAGGATTTGCCAGTGTTTTAATGAAGAGCAGATCGTTTTGAGGAGAAAAAGACGAAATCTCTTCTCGAAGATGAATAAACATGAAAAGAGGATTATTGGTTGAAGTGTCTCAATAATATTATGTTATCTCATAGACATTGAAACTGTCGATTTGATCTCATACGAAGATATGTACTTACTGTACTGACTAACCTCCAATAGCATGGAATGGATATTTAGTGCAGCGTGATTTTCTATATTATTGATTGGGTTATCGATAGAACAGTTTAAATTTATATTCAATTATTTATTGATTATAAGATTATTTTTGATAATTTGTACCTGATTGAGTCCATTATGACAGTTTCCATCTACATGTATTTCTTTACTTTATTTGTTATATACACGTCATTGTATACATTATACAGTAATCCTAGTCCATTATACTTTATTTATCAAGAAGCATGGCCTTCATCATTGGCATGGAAATGTAGTGGTACACCAATATTAAAAGGACAACGTGTTCAGTTCATTGAAGAAGCAACGAAAGTTTATTATGATACATTAATGTCTGGAAGATTTATAGAAGATAAGAATTTAGATATTGTCATACCACCGAATAGTATATTAAAATCAAAAGATTATTTAAATATGCTTAATCTAGTTATACATACATCAACAAAAAATTTTGGTAATCCAGTTGTAATGCGAATTAATTGTGAATTAATGAATAATTTAAAATGGGTCAAAGAAGTGTACAATAGAGCATTATCAAGGAATACAAAAATATTTAGAGCTATACTGGATATTATTTATAGGTAAAAAAAACAAATTTCCATTTATTTGTTTATTGTCAAATGAGATTTGTGCGACGACTGTGATACTGCCCAGCTGCCCGAACTAAAGCAGGTAGTTTTCTTAGGGGGGCACATCCGTAGCCTTCGACCTAAAGGTCTAGTCCACAAGGCAGTGGAACATCGTGAGGAGATGCAGTCCCATGTTAGCCGGTGACCTACGATGGGTTCATACGCCATTTGTTCCTTCAGGGTACTGGAGCCAATGTGTACCATTGGTTTGGAATCAGGGTTTTCCAACTCCCCTAGGTGGACTTTCCGTGTCCACCAACCCGGTTAAAGCGCCGGACATTTGCTTTTCATCCCCTCACTTTCGTAAACAACACCTTTGCCACGAGAAGGCAGTGAGTAGGACTTCCCTGACAGAGGCTATATATTCACTGGCCATGTGAGAGCATTTGGAGAGGGAGAATGGACTCTCCCCATTCTCGGCCGTACCACGGCATTTGCGGGCAGTAGCTAAAATGTTTTACAAAGGTGTAACTAATTAAATCGACCACGAAAAGGCATAATAGAATCAAAAATCAATAGAAGTAATGAAGATAATTTTATATGTAAGAAATTCATGAGATTAATGTCAGTATACCATAAACCTTTTGCTAGGATAACAAGTCTCATGCAATGATTATGAAGGAACAATATTATAGTAGTAGGGAAAAGTAATATAAGTGACTGTTTGCTGTAGTAAATGATTGGGAGGACATATTTATATGTAATAAGTGAATATAGTTGTGCTCCATCCTTTGCTTTTCCATGATGAAGTTACTGAGTAGAGTCAAATAAACAAATCAATCAGAAAGGTGGGTTATCATTATTGTCACATATTCAGCAATTTCAAGTCTTAAATAGTTTATTGCTTAGTAAACGTGTCATATAATCAGGATCACGAACAGGCATCAAGTTAAGGATAAGGAAAATCACGCTGCACTAAATATTCATTCCATGCTATTGGAGGTTAGTCAGTACAGTAAGTACATATCTTCGTATGAGATCAAATCGACAGTTTCAATGTCTATGAGATAACATAATATTATTGAGACACTTCAACCAATAATCCTCTTTTCATGTTTATTCATCTTCGAGAAGAGATTTCGTCTTTTTCTTCTCAAAACGATCTGCTCTTCATTAAAACACTGGCAAATCCTTATTATATTACTAATTGTTTCATTTCTTCCTCTCTGTAGATTGGGTTTATGCTTTCGTGAGATTGATCCACATCTAAATTGTCCAGATATTTGTCGTAGTAAAACAGATAAATTTTGCAAAAACAAACCATATACTGTCGGTTTTTGTGGTACCTACATGAATGACTTATTAAGTGATGCAAATATCAATTATACAGAAAAGAAAGAGGTAAAAGAATTAAAAAGAATTTTGAAAAATTGGTTATTACATGTACCTGTCGAGAGACGTCTACCGATTGAATTTTTTCTGCATTTTATCAGTAATAAAAAATTATTTGTGAAAGCCATTGAAATTCAAAGACAAAGTTCATTGATAGCTTATTGTCCTTGTGAAGCTAAATATGTAGTAAGTAGTATGAAGTTTTTTATTGAAATCAGTGTGTGGTGTAGAGAATACTGAATAACCGATTTGTTTGTGTTGAAAGTTCTTCATTGGTCCCAAATGCCGTGGTATGCTGGAGAGTGGGAGGAGTTATCTCTACCTCCCGAAATGCTCTGACACGGCCATGAGCATACGACCACTTCCACGGACGTCCTACTTACTGCCTTCTCGTGGCAAAGGTGTTGTTTACGAAATTGAAAGTACGGAAAGCGAATGTTCAGAGGTTTAACCGGGTTGGTGGATACACAGGATCCACCCAGGGGAGTTGGAAAATCCTGATTCCAAACTAATGGTGCACATGGACTCCAGGATCCTAGATAAACAAAAGGCGTATGAGCCTATTGTTGGTCACCGGCTACCATGAGACTGCATCTTCTTACGTTGCTCCACTACCTTGTGGATCAGACCTTTAGGTCAAAGGCTCGGGGAATGGCTTCCTAAGAAAACCATCAGCTTCGTTATGGGCACTCAGGCAGTAACCCAACTGTCACACTAATCGAAAGATATATATGGCGCATATCTATTTGTTGACTCCTTGTATCAACGTTTATGTGTTTAGACAAATAAGTCTTTAGCTTAAATTACAAATTCCATTTCAACAGAGGTGTTTTATTGATCAATAGATAAACTTGGTTTATGCACACCTATAAGGTTAATTTGTGGACAGATGTATGAATAAACTGGCTGACTGTCGTGCAAAGTTTAACCCGTTAATTGTAGTGATCTAGAATCGAATATTTGGGATGATTTTTGTTACAGACTAACATCGATTGGAGGATACAGAAAAATTAAGAGGAACCAACAAGTTATTACACCTGAGCTTGTGACAGCCAAGCAATGTGCACCCATCAGTTAATAGTGAGTCAAACCAGAAATTTTCAGGTGTCACATTTAGTATAATACCGACTGGTCACAGATTGAATTCCATGAGACAACTGTCACTCTCAACTATTTCGATATAAATCAATCTTCAGTCAGTGTAATTGGTAGGTAGTTGCGTCATTTGAACTCGAAGCTATGAACCGTAAGATTTATAGTAATTCATCTTGATGCTGGTTCCTAATCAGTACGTGTCTGTTATTTGACCAGGCATTTGCTTCAAGAACTTAATGTCTTGGATTTGATCCCGTGTTAGTCCCTAGACTCCTTAACAAGACGAATCGATCAGACAGTTTTGATTTATTTCTTGAAAAGTTACCAACAGGTTTCAGCTCATGGTGAAAACCATCTTTAAACTACTTAAATATCAACAGTCTGCTCGATTCCACAACAAACAAGCAGTTTTAGCTTACTGACAAATCAGCGTAGAAAGAGGAAATCAGTGGGCAGAACTAATTACTTGTTAGCGTCTCTACTGACTACATACAAACACGAAAGCAGCACCAGTAGTATCTAGTTGTTCTTGAATTCCTAGTAAGAATAATTGAGTGAAGTCACGAATAGCATTGTTCTCGTCGAGTATATCAACAATGATCAATCAACTTAGGTCAACAACTAACAAAGGAGATATGGTGACATTCAGTAAGTGTTGTTGACATCTAATAGAGGAGTAATTGTTATATTTTCACTAACTTTAAGACAGAAATCTTTCTTTTAACTAGATCGGTTTCGTATACATTGGAAACCACAACACATGAATTCACTTGTCGAGTTCCACTACTAGTCATCATGAATCAATATTGAAATGTGAACTGATTTGTTGTCGGTCACAGAATACTTCCCCTAGTGTTTTATTGAATTCTTGGTACAAAATTACTGAGTCGAATGCGAATTCGGATAGTACATCTTTACATCTCTTGTTTTCTTATTGCTACTTTTCTTCAAATGATCAAGGCAGCAGAGTTGCCTATTTTAATACTGACTATGTATGATGATCATAAGTATTCGAATTATTGTATTAACTAGGAACTCCCGAAGTTGTGCAGTTTATACTGTAAGTAGAACTAGATGAGCACAATTGAACGTATTGTATTTGGAAATCAGAGGGCAATCAAGCACAAAACAATCATATCATTCACCTACTTATCTAGTCACATTACCTCATTCCCATCCAGATTGATTGCATTGAACGGATACTAGTAGGGTGATTATCTGCATTTTTACACAACGGAATCATTTGTTGTATCAAAATTTCAATATCATATTTTTAAAATGTCTCTTAGTATGACAAAATTTCAGATACATGTTCAGATAAAAAGGGGGAACATGGTTGTTACAGTGATAGTTATTGTGCCAATGGGGGTACATGTGTACAAAATCTAGGGATGAATCACCTGGAATCAGGCTTACTTTGCCAATGTCCACCTGCTTTTAAAGGTACTCAGTGCGAGTATGAAAGAAATCCATGTGAAGATAAAGTTGGCTGTGCTCCGTTTCCTTGTGTGCGAGATCCACAAAATCTAGAGTATGGTTTCCGGTAAGTATTTTATGTCCGGTTTCGGTAATAACTCATTTTAAAACAGAATATTAATATCGCGAATTAGATCATGAACAAATAGTGAAATAATTCCAGATTGAGAAGTAAGTGAATGGCTATGATATAAAAACAAACTAAGAGGTTATTATTTGCCTACCTGAGATTTTTGTAAGCGAATGTAAGTTAACTTGCGAAATCAATGATTAGGTTACTTAAGTTATTTATAGTTTCAATCTACCGATGAATAGTACTTTATTCTCTAAGCTGGACGGTTTGACTGACTTTTCACTTTCACTCTCGACAAAGTCACCGTCACCAGTCTCAATTACAATTTAGTTTTTAAAATGATGAAGGCCATGCTTCTTGATAAATAAAGTATAATGGACTAGGATTACTGTATAATGTATACAATGACGTGTATATAACAAATAAAGTAAAGAAATACATGTAGATGGAAACTGTCATAATGGACTCAATCAGGTACAAATTATCAAAAATAATCTTATAATCAATAAATAATTGAATATAAATTTAAACTGTTCTATCGATAACCCAATCAATAATATAGAAAATCACGCTGCACTAAATATCCATTCCATGCTATTGGAGGTTAGTCAGTACAGTAAGTACATATCTTCGTATGAGATCAAATCGACAGTTTCAATGTCTATGAGATAACATAATATTATTGAGACACTTCAACCAATAATCCTCTTTTCATGTTTATTCATCTTCGAGAAGAGATTTCGTCTTTTTCTCCTCAAAACGATCTGCTCTTCATTAAAACACTGGCAAATCCTTATTATATTACTAATTGTTTCATTTCTTCCTCTCTGTAGATTAGGTTTATGCTTTCGTGAGATTGATCCACATCTAAATTGTCCAGATATTTGTCGTAGTAAAACAGATAAATTTTGCAAAAACAAACCATATACTGTCGGTTTTTGTGGTACCTACACGAATGACTTATTACGTGATGAAGGTGTAAATTAACGGGAGTTAACCATCAATCACAGTTTAGTTACTTCAGCTTCGTCCCAGACATTCTTCGTGCCCTTCAGCAACCTAAAACCGAAGAAGGTGGGATTGGAGTGGAAACCTGCAGTTCAGTAACTCAAAGTTCAGTCTTTAGTCAGTAACCCACACCCACTTATTCGAAATAGAGGATGCGATACAATATTTTTTGTCATAAAACTGCTAAATTGCTGCATCTGAACTACATTTACTCATCGTTTTCAGTATGTCGTTTCTGACTATTGTAAAACGTTGATTCAGGAAGTGTCCTGTTTAGTGCAGAATAAACTACAGGTCGTTAGACATGTAGAATTCATTGCAAAGACCTGCTTACTTCCATACGAATCCTCACTTTGAACTTCAAGAAAATCTACCTTCACTATCAATTGTAAAAACCTATAATTTAACTCAGTGAGCTTAGTTGTTTGAGCCTTCTCATTGATGTTCACGACTACAGTCGGTTGGTCTCAATTGACCAGCCATATTGTTTAATATGTCTCGACATTTGAAAAACACACCACTGTCCAATATTTAAGCCTCTAAACACTCATCTATTTCTACAATTATTCTCGACTAATAACCATAGCATTCTTGGAAGCAATTTCAACTAAGTGACCACGTCTCCGATAAATGCACACTGGTATGTTTGACATTCTGTCAGAAATCACCCAAATAGCATCCGTCCTACGTAGAAAAATACGCTTACTATTAATATAAACTATTGGATGTGATCATTCATAAAAACAAAACCAGCTGATCAAATCCATTTTTATACCGATTAATAAAAGTCACCATTCGTAAAGTCTACTTTTAAGGTCAGTGAGCGAGGACAAAAATTCAGCTTTGACGGTTCAATGAGTTTTCATACCAATTAAATTATACACTGCTCTCACATAAAAGAAAAACATGATACAATGTTTACCGTGTCAGACTAAGCATAATTAATTAACATAGTTGCGTTATAATTATGATAAATGTTACTTAACCCCTTCTCTTTTTATTAACATATTAGTTGTCAATGTCCCACAACACATCAATACCAGACTAAAGGTGAACCCAAGTGTGTACCTGTACCACTTTGTGGTGAATTCAATATAACAAGTGAATTGAAAATGAAAAGCCAACCATGTAGGAATTCTGGTCAGTGTATCCAAAATACTAATGATTCTACTTTGTATAAATGTATCTGTAATCATGGTTATACTGGTGATCATTGTGAGATTGAACCAACACCAGCTATATGGAGTGTATGGTCAGCATGGTCTAATTGTGTATGGCCTGACTTAAATGAAATATGCCACATAAAACCATATCGTCAACAAACACGCACTTGTATAACTTATGTAATCAGTCAAAAATGTGTCGGGGAAACAAAAAGGATAACACATATTGGATGTGATATGAGTGTAGTGAGTTAGCATTACTTATATACATATATAATATTTCACAAGATGTTCATCTTTGTAATTAGGGTTAATTTTGATTGGCTTACAATTCCACATAGTTAAATTACATATTATTGTATTGATTGTTCTAACACAATGCAAATGTTTCACTGTAATCACAACTTCATCTTATATCCTACACAGTTTATACGACCTAATGAGAACTTCATAACCAGTCAAGGAATATTCACAACTCTGTTACATCAAGTGGAGTCGGTGTTGCAGAAATTTGAACAACCGAAATCTGAACTCATCTACCCACTGATCAAATTGACACTCCTACTAAACACACAATAAATACTGAAAATTCGATCAATAGTTATACATTTTCACAATTGTTTTTATTTATTTTCCAGCTTCATTCAAAATCAGACATCAACATATCACAAACAAAACGTGAGGACCTAATAAACGCAGTAAAATTATGTGATTTATATAGTCAACAATATGTTACGTCAACAAGTGAATATGGATTAAACGAACAATTAATAACAGTTGAAGAAGTCGACGATCGGAGTACAACCGGTTTCCAAGATGCACCACAACCACATTTGAATGAGTCAATAGGAACTGATCAATCACAGTCAGCAAACGTCCCTACCAGACGAGATTATCTACTCACCACAGGATGGATATATGTGATTGTGCTACATATAGGAACAATACTCTTATGGATTCATTATATACACCGTTGGAGAACACATGGAAGAGATTAGTCAATAAGCATTTTAATAACGTCAATTTCGGTTCTTTGATTTGCTTAACACATGTTTTGCTTTTTCACCAATAGTACTATTGCAAATTTACAGAAGTATTTGGAGTGGAACAGACTATATCTATTCTGACGTAGCGTTTATTGCAAATGCGACATCCTCGGGATAACTAATAAAAGTCAACTCGTGTTAGTCAGATGTTTTGATTCACTTTAGTAATCTCTAGAAGCACACAAATGTAGTTTCACTTAACGACAAACTCAAGTATCATTCAAGCAGATTGTGGTGGCGCGTTTGAATGAACTTTTAATCACATTCGTTTGAAAGTTACGAGTCGAATGCGAAAACCTGAGTGCATTGAGTGTATTACTGTCAGGGTTGTGTTAGGACTGCTGAGTAGTTCTGAGTTGGCTAATAGCAGTTCTTGATTCTCAGACTGATGTGAGCCCGTTATCAGAAATGTCATTCATGATATTCGACGTCTATCTTTTGAGTTGTGTAGTCACTTATTCATGCCATTCCAAAGTTGTTTGGTGGTTTGTTTACAAAACGCATCTCAAGTAGGTGGCTTTATGGGACAGTGTTGTATTACAGTCTAAAGACTCTCTTTTTAACATTTAATAATGGGTTGGATAACGGGTTGAAATGTACCTTGAGTGACCCAGTCAAAGTGATGGAGAAACACTTACATGACGATCGGCTGATTGTCTTCTTTTAAGTGTGACAATTACGAAATAGGAGAACTTACTTATGTGAGTTGTTTAGGGTCAGCTACACTTATCAATAAAATTCATTAGGTGATTAGTACAGGTTTCGAAAGACATCATTGGTATTTATCATCAATCCAAAGTGAAATGCCTGGCGGCAGAAGGTGAGTAAGATCGAAGAGAAGAGAATGAGGATCAGAGAGTGCTTGGTGTGGAAACGGAGGAACAGTCAATTCTGAGACAATTGATTAACATTTTTCAAATGGGGTATTTACTGTATGGTTATCAGATTTTACTGGGACGTTCTTTAATTACCTATTCAAACACATTTTGCTGTCCTCGCTTGTGTTCTCGTTCACTACATTACTAAAAACATTAATGTGTTTTAACATCTTTGAAGCAACTAATAGTGAGGCAAGTTTCATATCACGTTACTTAGTAGTTGAAAACATAGTAGCAACAAATACATATTTTTCAAATAAAACATCTGAGATAATTAAGAATGTATTAATATAGAGAGATGCTATACACGCTATGTACATGAAGAAATAATGATGTTCCAAAGTTTTACAAAACAAAGATTGAAAAATATCTCATAGGATGAGTTTCACTTTTTAATTACTTCAATGGTGTACTTAATGCCTCCTCAAATTTACTTAAAGTTCGTTTCAAGCCTTCTCTAAGATAAGGAGAGAAAGATAAAATAATATATCACACAAGTAGGAAATTTGCCAACACATTTCATATTCGGTTATAGTATCGGCAAAGGATATTTAGACTGGCAAGTTTTGGATTAGAAAACAATTTACTTTAAAGTTAGTAGGTCTCTTGTAGAATTCAGTAACACGGTTCGGTGAAAAATTCACTTCAATCCATTTTCGTGCTATGAACATGTGATGAACTAGAACCACGTTAATCGATATCGCCTGATAAGATTCACCAATAAGAATCTTTCAACACATTTTTACCCTGCGAATACTATTTAGTATTTTTTTCCTGTGACTCGAACACTTAGATTAATTTGTGTTGTACGGATGCGAAGCTATGTAAGTGAATGTACTGCACCGTCCAAGATTTTTTCCAGATACATTACTTTATATCGAACCATTCTAACTTTTAGAAAAGAGAGCACATGTGAAACTAGTCGTTGGATGTGCATTATTAAATGTTTCTTAAAGTCCTCGTAGTTGATACATCACCTACATAAAGGAAGTGGTATTCTGGTTTATTAAGAGTATCACATAATGGGCCGTTTTGCAGTTGAGCTAAAAAATATATTGGTGGAAATGAGACCAAGGGGAGATCCCATTGTTACTTCATCTATTTGTCGATAACGTTTGTTTCTGAACAAGACGTAGGTGCTCATTATCGATTTCAATAAAATTCTCTTCACTCTATCTATTAACTTTGGTGAGACCATTCTTTTCTACAAGTTGTTTGCAAATATAATCAATAGTTTTAGTCAATGAAATATCAATAAACAAAGACATTACATCCAAAGATGACGTGGTTTTTTCTGTTAAATTCATATATCTTATTACATTTACAAATCGAAAAACGTCTTTGACATTGCGTTTCATTAACTTTCGATGTGGTGGTCTTAATAATTTTACGAGCCACTTTTCTGTTGAGTGGCACAGTGTGTTGATAAATTCAGAATCGAACCTAATGAAACCTCTTGTTTGTGCACTATAAGTAGGCCACAAACGCGTGGAATGCGTGCTCCTGAACATTTGAGCATGTCACAAGTAGAAGTAGAAATAAGTTATTGATGTTTTACAGATTTCAACGATGAAGTTGGCTGATGTTCCATCTTTTCTGCCAAGACTTTACGTAACCCTAGTTTATGACATTTAGTTTTATCATCAAACAGAAGACGTGTTTTATCTATAGAATCAGTCTTGTTTAAAATTACGACACCTGATCCTTTATCTAGTTTGATTATTATAATATTTTCCTTCGATTTTAGTTTTCTGGGTGACTTATTGAAGTTTTCTAGTCAACGTCTTCTTTATGTTCTGTTTGCTATTTCTAAATTGGTTACATTAGTCAATATCATCTTAAATTCTTCTATATTGAGCTTACTTGAAGCTACCAAGTCATGTGTCTAGATTAGTGGATTTTTAAACTAATCCTTAGAAAGCATTATCTCGTTTCTCCTTCTTTGCAGTACTTCTGAAGCATATGCCAAAAATTGATCCCTATGATTTTCAATAGCATGTAATTTAATTCAGTGATATGCATTGATTTGGTTCACAGAATATCTTTCCAGTGACTTGACATTAGGTTCGAATTTATATCTATAGTGATTTGCAGTCCCGTTTAGGATAACGTTGGGTCAGCGTGAAATCAAAATGAAATGCAATGTAATTTTCGCTTCTGTGAGGTGCTCACCAAATTTTAACAGTCTAATAATGTTCATAGAGTACTCAAGAACAGAGTATTTCAGGCTCACTCAATCGAATCATCATGGTATATACACTCTTTATATTACAGGAGAGTTAACAAATCATTATATCAAATAACAGACAATGATGACTGGATAACAGGAGTTACAAGAGTTATTAGTGCTATATGTACACATGTTTAAGGCAATCTGAAGAAAGACATAGGAAACAAAGAGGTGTAACTTACATTTCTTTTTTCAAAGGTTCTAGCTGAGACATTGATCTGGATAATTCTTCGCACTTGGCCATTAAAACATAAGTGGACTAAGGAGGAAATAAAAGTTCTGAAAATATTCCAACAACAGTTAAGTATTTCAGGTGCAAATAAAAATAAAAAATCTTAAATTGACCAAAATATACAAGGTTTTCCATTAGCTGATTGATTAATACAATGATAAGGGAATCCCTATTTTCTTAAGCTATTTAAACTTCCCACATCCTCCCACCTTATAACTTTAGGAAGCACTGGGAACTTGTGCTAAATTCATATTAAGGTGGCGTTGTTATTAAAATGGTTGTTTACAATCGGACAATAATGCGTGAACTAGTGTATGTCTACAGTTGTGATTAGTGGTTTCAAATCCGAACCAAACTAATTAAATAAGGATATTGCGTAGAGTTGTTCAGTACTTGTGGATAAGAGCGTTAAGCACAGCAATACACTAGAAGTGTTTTTTTTATTACATTTCAGAAATGTACCAGTCTATCGTGAGATACCTTCAAAGCCCACTTGTGAAAATAAAACTATGACCCATTTCTGGTTAAGCAAACTTTTAAAGATAGGAAAAGTACTGTGGGTGAGTACGTTGATCACTTCGTAGTATACTTATTCCATAAAACGGTTTTTGTCAAATCAGTGCAATGAGTCACTGTTTAGACGTGAGAGCACGTAATAAATGATAAAACAGAGCATTCACTGAAACATGTCAACGTTAAAACTATGTCAAAAATGCCGTATACATATAGACATGTACTCAACCAGATTTCGACTTTTTATAAGAGGCCCTTAGTGAGGTATTTCTAGAAACCTAACCCAACCCTTAATGTACAGATACTTAGAAATTATGGCTAATAAAGGCCGTACATTTTCAAACTTCCGATATCAACTGGCCATTTGTCAACAGACTAACCTTTATACATGCACCGATAGTTTCACAAGCGTAATCTACGGAATCCGAAAATACAGTTGTACAGTCCAAGGTAAGACTTGACATCTAAAACATAAAGAAAACAGTACGCCATTATGTTGGTTTCAATATGAAAGGAGCAGGAATGACGGAGAGGGGATTACAAGGAGATAGATAGAACTAGGACAGAAGTGTCCTTATCCTTTGGATGAAGATAATACTTAGTAACTAGTCATGTAAGATGGGATACCAGTTTGAAGTAACTTTTGCCTATCACTGTTTAAGTAGTCAAGTAGCATGAGCAGACCTTTCAGAAAAGACGTTGTCTATGACATAGGAGATGCATTCGCGTGATTAATGAGTCACATTTTCAAAAACTGTGAATTACATTAAACTTCACCGATATTTTTTAAACTCAAAGAGCTACTGCATAACAGACAACTTAGTTTATCAGTTCAAAGTTTGATTTTGTGACTTCGTACAGTCATGACCTATTTGGACGTTAAACAAATTTTGGAAACAACTCCATTCCTACCTAAAGTTTGTGCTGATGTTGTTCAGAAGAACAATAAAAGCTTCACAACTGAACCAACCAACCCAGAGAACAAAACTCCACCTAGATAACCATAGACACTTCTCTCAATTCGAATGAAATTACCTAGATTTGTTAGCATGGTCAAGTTGGAGAACGTAGGAACAACAGAATAACTATGAATTTAAAGTGTATTCATATCTAAATATCAAACAAGTGAAAAACTGCGTTGAACTCTGGAGTTTGTTTACTGCATGTTACTATGAAATAAAATAACGATGTTTTATTCAAATAAAAATGGCACATTTGATTCTTCCCTAACGAACCGCCCGTATAGGTGGATGTCGAATACCCACTGGGACAAAAGTCGGACGTCCATATCCGACTAGTCAGTATCCCCAGGGTAAATTATGATAGATAACATAGTTTTGAGATGAGATTTAAAAACAATGTTTGGATTTAGTGAACTGTTAAGTGCGTATACAGAGATATTAAAAATAGAGCACTAACGAGACTGTCTGAACTAATTTACAACCAACAGCTGTTGGTTGGATCTTATTCTCTAGAGAATAAGATCCCAGTTGTTAAGTCTGTGGCAAGAGGGAACGTGACGAGTTAAGCACAACAAGAAATGAAGCCAAATATTTTGAAACTAAATGCCTTTCGCGTAGTTTACCCCATGGTATTGTCAATCGGTCATGTGAGCGATAAATATCTATCGGTGAATGAAAGTATTCACATATGTTTGTACTCGAAGAGCGGCTCGAGGATGGAAATTAACACATAACATTACTGTAAATCAGCAAAAAAGTAACTTAATTGCTCAGCTGCCCAAGCAATTAATGGGGGAATAAATGCGAACTTTGTGGAAAATTCACGAGGGAAGTTGGAGTGAATATAGACGGTAATGCATCGTAACTTCGTCTTTCTTCCCCAGTACAAGTAACTAGTGAGTATTTTACTCAAATTTCCGCATTGAGAGAAAATATCTATAAATTAACAGACTGCCCAAACAACCAATAAAGGGGAAATAAAGGCGAACAAAGGGGAAATAAAGCGGAAAATGCATTGGAAAATAAGTCGTAAATAAAGGGGAAATGCATCGAAATGTCTGCTTTTTCGCCTGTCCGGGGGAAATAAAGCGTAATTTCCCCTTTCTGTCGCTCTGTTTTTCAAATGTCGTGACCTTCCTTGAATTGTTTACTTTTCCCAAAAACTAAAACCTTGTTGTCTGTCTTCTCTTAAAATATACGCTGAATCGTCTACATTTTCGCGAAATTAACTCCACTTTGTCTATTTTCTGTTCAGAAATGTTTGCTAGCAAACATGGGCAGCTGCCTCCAAACAACCAATAAAGGGGAAATAAAGGCGAACAAAGGGGAAATAAAGCGGATGAAAGCGTAAATAAAGGGAAAATGTCGCTTTTTCGACTGCACGTCGGTTGTATAGGGGAAAAATCGGCTATTCGTCGGATATTTAGGGGAAAAATCGGAAATTTAGCGACATTTGAAAAACAGAGCGACAGAAAGGGGAAATTACGCTTTATTTCCCCCGGACAGGCGAAAAAGCAGACATTTCGGTGCATTTCCCCTTTATTTACAACTTATTTTCCAATACATTTTCCGCTTTATTTCCCCTTTGTTCGCCTTTATTTAAATAAAGGCGAAAAAAGGGGAATCCCCTTTATTGGTTGTTTGGGCCCATCTCAACATTAGTACTTCATTTTACAACTTCATGTGAAGGCATTTATAACTAAATACCTCGTTTAATGTAGATGTTAATGAACGAAGCAATGCGTCTAAATGTTTTGCTATCCCTTCTGCACTCTCCTCAAGTTTCGGCAAAATATCGAGCTGTAACGCACACATCAAACTAACAGAACAGTTTGGAGTGTACAATGAATCTAAACTACAAAATACATGGACCCTTTCTGCTTACAATTTGATGATGAGAAACTATTGTAACCACTCATAAGCGTCTGCCTTATTAGCTTCAATGGTTATTATTGATTTTTTAGCATTTCTTTTTTTATATTTTAAAAGGGCAGTGGTTTCAAAGGGTTCTGAAGGGGATAGAAGCTTTTGCCCGACAGGTTTCCGTATCTAATATTAGTGAATTAACGATGCTTATAGTTACGAACTTAGTTAAATTTAACGATTGAAAACAAAGTGTAAATTATAGCGGGCTATTATCCTTAGTTCCTAAAAATATATCAAGTTTCCTGTTAAAGAACTCCTGGGAAGTCACTTGGACTAGCTGAACCGGCAGCAAATTTCAGCATTTGACTGCTCTTGGGGAGCAGAAAGTATACATACAGCCCGTTCTTCTGTATTGTGTTTCCATATGGAGGATAGTTAAAGTAGACTTTTCGTAATTAGTTTTGGTACCTTTTACATCTTTAATCAATACCTACAGTTTGTACAATTACCAATATTACCTGTGGAATTGTCGTTCAAAAAACAACCTTTGATCTTCCGTTCCGTTTGGAAACACGCATAACATGACCCTGTAGTGACCTCCTTTTATGAAGAGAACGCGATTGGTATGATGGAAACGACTGTAGAGGATTTATTCCTCTATATTTGACTCTAATAAATAAATAATATCCCGTTAACGGAATATTTAATGCAGGTTAGACCTCCTAGTAGAATGATGGGTTAACTCGAGATTATTCAAAAGCCTGAACACCAGTCATAGAGATTGTTTATTGCTGAAGTTTGGTAAAATCCGCAAGCGTCCAGATAGCAAGCACGCACGGAAAACAAGTGAGTGTCTATGTGGCAATGAGTGTTGAAAAAACCATATATATTTATGAGTTTTTATGGGTTGTGGACAAATTATTGATTGTCTTTGCTTGCAACTAATGAGAGAATTAAGATTGATGTGCAGATATGCGCATTTGTTTAGTTCAATAGGTACAAATGACTTCACCTTCTGAGTTCGTGGTTTGACGGATCGAATGTATTCCATCAGTTGCTTCAATTGCTGCATGTAGTTTGTTATATCTGCTGAGATATATGTTGCACGATCAAAGAACTAACCAGGCAAAAGTAACGTTGTTCCATAACTAAACTCAGCAGCACAACGACCGATATCAAAGGAAGCTTGGCATCTTATTTGTAATCTTCTCCTGCGGCCGTCAAAGAGGCTTTTAGCTGTCGGTGACACCTTTCTACCATTCCGTTAACAAGTGGATGATAAGCAGTGGTTCTGATTCTCTTTAAAACGAAAGTGTTTGTAAGTTGTTGAAAAAGTTTCTTTTCAAACACGGCTCCACGGTCGGTTGTAATTGTTGATTGGACACCGAAATTTGTAATCGAGCGTTCCACTAATTTCTTCGCCACTGTTGATGCCCATGTGTCTTTTGATGGGACGGCCATTGGCCGTCTCATGAATCTATCTATACGTGCTAGTATATGCGTGTAACCATTGGAAATCGGTAACAGTCCAACAATGTTGATATGAATGTGATCGAACCTAGAGCAAGCGACGGGAAAAATTCTTGTAGGAGATATGATGTTCCTGTGCACTTTCGACTTCTGGCATTGGATGCATTCTCATAATCATCTTCATACATCTTTGTTTATGTTTGATCATACAAAGCCATCTGTAATAAGCTTTACAGTGGCTTTTATACCTAAATGGGATATGTTGTGCGATTTCTCAAAAATGTTTTGTCTCATATCATAAGGTACAATAGGACGAGTTTTACCTGTTGAGATATCACAGGTTAAGGTGTCCTTGTTGTTCATGGGAATGTTTTGGAATAGTAGTTTTGTCTCATTAGATTGTAAAAGTTTTTCTAGCTCCATATCGAGCTTTTGATGTTTGGCCATATCTTGATAGTTTATGCCACGGATTGAGAAAGTATTGATATTTAATCTAGATAGTGCATCTGATGCATCGTTTTCTATTCCTTTTACATAGCGTATGTCGAAATGAATTCTAGTTGACGAATTTCGCGTGGACTGTGTTTGTTACTCTCGCGATGAGGTTTGACCAATAAATGCATAGACGTCTCATTAGACAGAATTCCTCTGATTTCACTGATATGATCAGCAAGTACAAATTTTCGGTTTCTAACATCTACGAGTACTTGATGTGATTGCAGGAAATCAACACCCATGATCAGAACAAGGACATCAGCTATGATGAAGTTCCCTGAGAAGTTTGACTTCGAACCGAAATGCGATTGTAACTGCCTTTTACCGTATGTCTTGATCTCGGATATATTCGCGGCTTTCAGTTTTACTTTGAGGTCAGGTGTGTTTTTCTGTAGTGTGGTAGGTAGCACCACACCAACCTCTACCCCGGTGTCGATTAAAAACTGGGTTTCGGTTCTTATGTCTGTGACATATAATAATAATAATAATAATATATTTCTGCATTAGAAGGTACACGCCATTTTTACAGGCATGATCTACAATTTACAACACATACTGCTTCACAGTGTGCATCCCAAGCAAGCTTGTTTAGTAATTATAATCTATAAAAGTTGATAGCAGTTCATTCGTTCACATATAATGTGTTTTCATAAGAATAGTTTCCAAAGGGGCATAGCGTCCACGTTATATACCAGATCCGATCTCGACAAAAAGTGTAATAGGGTTTCGGTAGTTCTAAGTATTTATGTAATGCAGCTTTTTAAGTTTATAGTTGTTATAAAGTAGGCTTGTGGAGCGCCTGGTTCGAGCTTGTTCCAGATGTCAGAAGTCACATAGCTTCACCCTCAGAGCAAGATTCTGAAGAGAAAAAAAAGAAACCGAGCAGCAAGGCATTTGGATATGAGCGATAATCAATGCTCAACATTTATTAGTGGAACAGATAGAGGTATGATAAATTATTAGATTAAATTGATGCTAGCTCATTTTGCAAGAGTAAACTGCGATTAGGGGCTCCAGAAGGGAGAAGGCAGTAATAAAGAACAATGAGTTGTGATATTTATCAAGGTGGAGTAGGTTCCAATGAAGGAGGGAAGACAAGGTTGGAATGATGAAGAACTGTCTTGAGAGTTGTGGCCGGCGACCGCAGTCGTCACTAATCGTAGGCCTTGAAGTTCCCTTTGCCGTGTGCTTGCAGAGTTACAGGGAAGAGTACACTTTTTTGCTTGTTTACCATACATTCTGTGGTACCAACAAATGTTATGCCAGATGATGCTTGGACTACGACGTGTACGGCTTCTAAGCCTTGCAGTATGGGCATTTGAAAATTGGAGCTGAGCTATCTGTTCAGTGGAGTATTCGACTGTCTGTCGTAACTCGGCGATCTTGTCGGTTTGGTTTGTTTGTACGTGTGATACTGAGTGAGTCCTGCTCAACCCATAAACTCTATCGACTATGCCCGCTAGCCTGTCAAAATCGACATCCTCATCTTCAGTTGCGAGTATCTGTTGGATGTTTCGTGGGAAGCGTCTGATCCACAACTGATATAATAGGCGTTTATCAACTGTACGATTCCCCAAAACACTTGTCATATGGAGTTTTAATTGGGAAGGTGTGTTATCCCCTAGCTCTATATTGGCCAAAAGTTGATCGATTGTCTGCCGGTTGGAGAGAGGTAACGCATATGACCTCTCTTTTTTGGCAATCATATGGTAAGTCAGGATCCGGTTTAAAAATGACTTCAGGCACTTCTTCAGTGACGTCGTCTCGTAGCCACGAATTTCTGTAACTAAATTTCATGCTCCGAATTGTGATTCTGTTTGCAACAAAAAAGCTTCCTAAGCACCAAAAATCAGAGTTTAGCCTTTTGAGGATGAAAAACAGATAAAAATACAGAGATAGCACCCACGGAAAAAGTCTGAGATGAAAGGCTTGGCGAATTACTGTGTGACATGATACGAATAAATAATAGCAGTAGCGATATTAATGAGCTGTGGATTGAGATATACTGTATGAAGAAATGACCAATAACAATAAGAAATGCATATGAGACACTCATAGAATAAAAAAACTGTCACTTTGGGACCAAACATGAGAATATACGGATATAATTCCAAAGGCACAATGTTATGAATGAATTTATCGTGACAGTTAATAAGTTGTTAATCATTGTAACGGTGATTCCAATGTGAAGTTCTTTATGACATGACTGAAGAATATGCAGCAGTCTGTAGTGTCAGTTGATATGTTAAGCTCATGTAGTTTATTTTAGCTTCTGGACAAGCCAATTTACCTACCCACCATGAGTCGCGTTTTGACCTTGTTAACTATTCACTTATTAACCCCGACTATTTTCATGTGAGCGTATGTGTGCACACTTTTTATAATATTCATCACATGTCTGTAACTTATTTTTATCTGACTACAAATATTGATTAACGCTTGATTAAAGCGAGTTGGCTTACCCGCCATCTCCAATGTGCGTTATTTTTGTTTTGCTCTCGTCTATTCGCTTCTTCACTCTGATTTCCTGTGTGTATTCAAAATCCATTCCTGCATTTGACTTATTTAACTCCGATATTCATCAGTGAGGATTAAGTCATGTATTGTATACGAAGATAGACAGGATGTATATTTTGACAATAATCACTCATACGATCTCATTGTAGTCTGATCTGTGGTCCCTTTACAACATTTATTATAACCAACTGTACCAGTGATTGTTTTACTTTACCTGTTTGTTTAAGTGTACCAAAGGATCCCTGTCTTCCATTGTTTGTGACCTTCCGCGGACTCTCGTACTCTTAGCAGACTGGTTCGTGGATTTCGGCGCGATCTCAATTTGGTTTCGATACTACGAGATTGATAACAAGTACATCTTACTACAGCCTTCAATGGCTTATGATATTTGGCCTTCGGAGGGGTCTAGCCTAGCCACTGGCATGTAATTGGTCTGTATTGGTGATCATAGTCAACTGCAACTCGACACAAACTGCAACCCATTGATTATCGCTCACAAATACTCTGTAACACAGGTTATTCTAGTCCC